TGTGTTTGGTAAGAGAGATGGAAAGTATGAAGGATTAAATTTTAATTTTTTTTTTGTATTTTATAAGATAAAAAAGTATTTTTTTTATTTTTTATTAAAAAATATAAATACATATTTTATCATTATATTTATATATGAAATTTATATATACATAATATGTAATTGATAAATATGATATATATATATATATATATATTAGTTATTGCATATGTCTGAAGACACAGAATAATAAAAAAATAGTAAACAATAAACATATTTGTATTCATATCCAAAATCAAATCACAAATATTGAGGAGAGATAAATGAATTTAAGCATCAATTGTAGTAAGAGTGAAAGGTGGTGGGCGACAGTAGTGATTGTAGAAAACGGTGATGGTTGTGGCGGGTGGCAATGACCGTAGTGGTAGTAGCAGCAGTAGTGGCGGTGGTTGTGGTGGTGGTGCGTGGTGGTGGCAGCGGTGGGGTGGTATCGGCGATGGTGGTGCGTGGTGGTGGGGTGGTTTCAAATACTACTTTTTTAAAAATATTTATGAGAAATAATTCTTAAGAGTGTTTTTAAAAAGTCATTTCAAACACAATTTTATGGACTTATTTTTTCTATTAAATTTAGAGTGTTAATATTAGCCGTTAGATTAATTTTAAAATAAAATTTAAAACGATCTAAACTGCAAAAAATAAAAGTCATTTTATTTATTTTTTAAAATTTGAATTATAAGTTACTTTATATATGTATATCCCTTCAAGCTCTAACTTTCTATCATTCCATTTTTTATTGTACAAAACAAAACATTAGAGAGTGACTGCGGGCTCTCCCGTCTAAGCCCCCCTTGTAGAGAGTTTTCCCGACGAATAAAGATTACTATGGTTAAGTCCTCGTAGAAATTTCATGTCCGGTCTTCCTCTCTATACTTTGGGTAAAAAAAACCTTTTAACCACAATATTTTTCTTATATTTGATGTTTTAATTATCCACTTATATTCAATAATAATAAATATTTTAACTATTTCTCCTGTTTAACCAAAACTAAAAAAAAACATAGTTTACACAGATTCACACTGGTATGGATAATAAATTAGGGTTACAAATAAAAAAAAATTGCTCAAATACCCAAATCACATGCTTTTGCGGTTGTCATGAATATGAATATTATGTATATGTTCCATCACATATGATAGGACACAAAATCAACAAAATATGTGGTATGCAGTTCCCAATTGATTGGTTGGTCCAGATCGTTACAATGTGAACATGGGGTCCAGTTTCGATCATGAGAAGTAATTTTATTCAGATTTTCGTATCTCACTCTGAGCAACTATAGTAGTAAGATGGCTTTGCCAGAGAAAGCCTGCTGAGCTGCAACGGCACATGTTGAAAGCTCGGGGCCTTTATTAATATGTTTGCCCAAAATGCCCGCATCAAGGACGGTTTTACAGTGAGTTAATTTTATCGTGTTAAATTATAATTAATTTATCGTCTAGTGGAATAATTTAGTGGAGTATCGGTTGAATATTTCATTATGAAATGAGAGATTCAAATCTTAGAGTCTATATTGAAGTTCGATGATTGATCGCTATGTTAAGTCTAACTAGGTTCGTTCACGATAAGAGTAATAAATACGATTAGGGGTTTCATGATCCCACCAATAAAAATTTATGAAGGTGATCTCTGAGTGCTCTCTTTTGACTTCACCCTTTTTCCCACAAGCAAAAAAAAATATAATCAATCTTTATCCACTTCATTTACGATCATTTATTATTAGAGTTTTGTCTCATAAATTACTATAGTTAAGATTGTATCGGATTTTTTTGAAATAGCGTGGGCCCAATTCCTTAACAGGTCCAACAAGATGTTTATTCTCCAAACTGGTTGGGAGTCCTGGGACTGAGCTCAAGTCTGCAAATTGTGTGTTAATCTCATCCTTATTCTAATCCACCCTTATGGTTGTCGTCATGTTACGTTAAGAGGGCAAATCAGTCATTTAGCTGAAAAGTGCAGTTGTTTTGTACTGGAAGTGGGGAGTGTGGTGTGGTCTCCCTAGAGGGCGCATGTGAATGTGTTGGCATTGGCCAGCAATTTCCTCAGAGATTTAGCGAGGGTGCCTAGTGCGCAAATAGAGCATGCACATGGGGAACACATGCACACACAGAGAGAGAGAGAGAGAGAGAGAGAGAGCCTTTGCCATGTGACAAAGGTGGAGACAGTGAATCAGCATGAATTGAATTGTACACCCATTCACATTCCCCTGCAAATGGTTCTGACCTGGTTACCCTTTTTTTTTCCACCGATTACATTTGTTCAAGTTAATTTACGTGTGTAAGGAGAATTCCTCTCTTCCATGGAAGGATTCTAATTGACTTGGGTGAACACTTAGTAACTTTTATCACTCATCTCACATCGGTAGAGTATGTTACTGTTTGATGTTACTATTTTTTTATTGAGTGTGTTACTGTTTAATGTTATTATTTTTTTTGTTGAGCGTGTTACTGTTTAATATATATATATATATATATATAAACATAATTTTAATGTTAGCACAATTTTTAATATATGAGTTATTAACACTAATACAATTTCTAATTTAGGAGTTTTTAGTTTTTTCAAATAAATTTTGATTAAATATAATTATTTAAGATATTTTGGATAATAAAAATCAAAATAAATTTATAAAAAAGGATCGGCCTCGCTACGCCAGTTTACTATTAAACAGACATTATTGTCGATACCATGGACGAACCCTGGAATGACCATTTTACAAGCGGGCCCATGGGGCACAATCTGTTGAGTGCTGAACATGTCTGACTTTGATCTGTTGCTAACGCTTAAGTTGGTCCGATAAAAAAATGAACGAATGAAAAGTTACGAGAAATAAATAAAATATTATATTTAATAAGAAAATAAAATATGAAGAATAGAAAAATAGATAAAATAATTTTTCTTCTAACACACCAAAATCAATCTCTCTAAAATCGAAAGAAAAGTTGATGAAAAATTAATTATTTGTGTTAAAATGTATCTTATTTATCTATATATTATGTATACATTAATTTCACATAAAAATACAATAATAAAATATGTATGTATATATATATATATATATTTAAAAAAAATTTAAAATTAAAAAAATTATTTTTTTCATCTTAATTAGGGATGAAAATTTTCGACTCAACACGATGACACGACTTTAACTTGACACGAATTTTATGACACAAATTTGATTATAACTCGACACGAACTTAAAAATGACTTGACACACGAACAAGAAATATAAAAGACTCATAATTTTATGACTCAACATGAATCTGACACAACACGACTCGATTGTCACGCCTAATTTTAACGAGCACACAAAAAAAATATTCATTTTTATTTTTCATCCATTTAACCAAACACAAATGAAAGAAAGTGTATCATTCTTATTTCTCATCATTGAAGGATATAAAGTGTATCTCTCTTATTTTTCATCTTTCCTACTTTCTATCATTACTATCAAACGGAACATTAGTTATACTTGTTATATTTTTAAAAAAAAATTGTGTTATTATTAGAATATAGGGGACTATAATGTAATTAATTTGGCAAAGTGATTTTATTATAATCCAGAAAGTTCTAGTTTCATATTATTTTTTAAATACGAGGAGGTCTCACATGTAAATCTAACATGAGACACCAAAATTGATATCTCACTTAATATATGATCGTTTTTAGTATGTGTATTTGAAGCATGTCACTTACAAGTGAGGTGAGATACATATGGAATGAGCATGGCGTGGTTTTAAAGGAGGACAAGTCGGTAAATAAGGGTCATGGTCACAACAACACAGAGCGATGGGAAATGATACCTGTTTTCCGGCTCTCTTTGGCTGCATGAATACATGTGCACAAGCGTGCTGTATTCCTTTTGTTTTTCGGTCGGAAGAAGCCCCCAATAAGGCTGGTGAACTTTTTGGTTCAGACACCATATGATACTCTATGACCCACCGGTTTCGGTGTTTTGTCCAACATATGACAATAGTTGTTTTCCAATTTTTGTTCTTTCTCTATCTTATTTTATGCGGCTGTCCTCGTGACTGTACCAAAAAATTTTGGGACTAATTTCAGGGTTTATTCCTAGGTTGTTGGTTGGCATGATGATAACAATTGAGTGACTAGTAGGTCATAAACTCGCTAGAGAATGTTTGATTCGAGTTAATATTTATTAACTCGACAGACAGAGTAGTCCATCACCACAGTACCAATAAAATCGAATAGTAAACCGTGTTAATCCCGTGAGTTAAACTCTGCTCGATAACTTCCATCATACCTTACCTTGATGAGGTAATTCAAGCAACTTGAATTTAAACACAATCTAAACAACCATGGCCAAAAGGATGGGCTTGAGGATGCTAATAATTGGGTTTCATTGTATTCAAATGTATATGATAGTTAGATGGCATCAATTTTATGGTCGTCAGTGGGGACGGACGGAGCCAGTAAGAGTTGGGTCCATGGGATAGCCCGCTAAATTAACACAGCCATGGACCATAATTCTTCTATGGGCATCAATCAATGGTTTTGACCGTTCGCCCCATATATTTTCTAGGGTCAGTGACTTTTGGACTGGGCTAGCTAGCCAGTCATTGCCCGCCCTCAATTTCACTAATCGAAAGATAAACTTGTTCAACAAGACAGCAGTAGTCAAACTTAGAAGCAAAATATACTAGTCGTGGAGATATGAGAGCAAGAGCAAATAGACTTTTTATACTATCTTTTATTTTATTTGGACTTTTCTATGCTCCTATTGTTTTCGAGTATCATAACAATTATATGTCCTCCCACTAATTTCATATTTGATAATTAAGCACTGATTTTTAGTGTTTCTTTTTATTTCTTTATTTTTTGGTCTCTTTCATGTCTCAAGAAAAGAATAGTATATTACTAAAGTTTTAAAACGGCGTCGTAACCCATTACACCAAAACCCTATCCTAATTTAACAAAGTGGCTCGCGACTCACCTGATACAAAAATTGGTTTTGCGATTCTCCATCAATCAGGGCGAACAACGGACAACCTCTCTCTCTCTCTCTCTCGCTCTCTCTCTCTCTGCCTTGTGCAAAGATCGATCACTCTCGCTGGGTTCAACGATTATTTCCGCTTGGGAAGTTTTAGTCTCTCACTTCAAAGGTGATTCAATCTCATCAAAACACTTCTTTTAGTTTGTTAGATTTGATTTTTTGCTTCAATTTCCTGATTGTCCGATCTCCATATTTACTGTCATATTAGGGATTTTAAGGTGTGATTCGTATTTTTTTGATCTCTTACCGGTTTTATGTTGATCCCCTTTTGTTACATTGTTTTATTTTTATTTGCGGTCTTGTTTGGGTTGTAGTCAAATCTTTGGTATGTTACAAGTTCGTTACTGTTATTTCACCAGGATTGATTAATCTTCTCTGGGCTTTTATTATGCTTCATTGTGTATAAACCGCTGCACTTGTTAATTCTTATTGGGATCTTCTCTTCTTTTTTTCCCTGTCTTAGGTTCTATCAGAGCTGTATGCCCTAGGTAATTACTTTCACATGGTTCCTTAGAAGATTTGGGGAAATTTATCAAAATTGATTGTTAATTTGTCCCTTATTCGAGTTTTGGACTCCTTTTTTTGATCTTTTTGGGGGTTCTTGGTTCTGTCAATGGGTTTGTGAGTAATATTTTCATTCATTACCTATAATATAAAGTAGAGCAGGCTTGACAGTCTCCAACGGCCACCAACATCCTTTTTAAAACCATTCGTATTACACCGAGCCACATGTTACCCCTAGTTAAAACGACACGGTACTTAAGTAGAGCATCCCATTCTTTATAAGATAGAAGACACCTGTGAATTGAGATACCATCGGATCTTATTGCTTTGCGCTTACTGTGTAGTCATATATTCTTGAATTGTTCATCTTGGCTATTTTCTTTAAGAGTTACAGATTGTGCTGGCGGCAAAATGGAGTAAAGCATTATCTACTGCGAGCAGACTAATAACTGCAACTTGCAACTCACAGAAGTATAATGCAGTCTAAGAGTCGAGAGAATGGAATAAATACCTGACCATACATTAGCTTGACATGGCTTATTGAAATTGCATTTCGTGTCAGACATGTTTTGATTATAATGTATAAATTTCTTTTCATATGGACATCCAGTTATTTATTGCACTTTCATGGTCAAAAGCAGAGAGAATGATTAATATGTATGTTATATCATATAAGGAGATGTTTTGTTTTATGTTTGTCATTTCATGTGCAAAATCTTCAATTGGAAGTTTTGAATAAGGAACTCAATATTTATTTAGTTACATATATGTACTTTTGCTATTTCATGCTTAGGTTTCTTCCTTACTGTCCTTTTTGGAGTACTATGACATTTATTAGTATTCACTTCTAGTGTTGAAGTTGGATAGGAATATCTACATAGCCATGAAGTTGAATCTCCTCTGAAGCTTTCGCATGAAATCTATGTGCCAACAATTTTCAGGTTCTCTAATGCTGTAAATAGTTGCGAGATCTTGTTTTATTCTCCCCCCTCTTTCCTCCACTTTGTTCAAGATGTCATGTGATGAAGTTTGGAAGGCTGTTTTTCCGCTACTGGAAGGCACGGACCTTGCTGCTTGTATGGTGGTATGTAAACAATGGCGAGAGATAGCCAGTGATGATTACTTTTGGAAGTGCCTATGTGCCAATAGATGGCCTTCAATCTGCAAGCAACCATCCCCGCCCACTGTAACTTACTACAAGCTATTCAAAACCTTCTATAAACGTCAGCATCGACGAACTCTTCTCCCACCAAGGCTGTCCTTCAAAGACTTGGAGTTTTACATTGACATTTGGGTCGAAGAGAGGTTAATTTTATCAGAAGTCGTCCCAGGTCCTGTTCTTCAGAAGGGGAGCTGGATCCCACCACCGGGAATTGGTGATGTGCTTAGGTTTCACTTGGAGGGCCCAGAATACAAGATGACTCTACCTGTGCAACCAAGGTTTGCTGTTTCTCTGAGCCAGACAATTACTGTCTCTGTGCTTATAGGGCGCAAGGATTCCAACAAAGTTGCTTGTATAATTAACAAATCAGGATTTGATTATATAGATCCAACAGCATATAGGGCCCATGCATTTGACTACCTCGACTTCTCCCCCCTCTACCCATTCGTATCTGGTATACGGGCGTGGATATCTTTGCTCTTCATGGATCTTGGTAGTGTGGGAGTCATTGAAGTTTTTGGAATTGAAATGGATTTCTGTGATGCTGCCAGCTCTGAAGAGGAGGTCCTGTGGCTATTAGACATGCTTGATTGGAAGTAAGAGGTCCATTCAGTGTAAAGCTTCTGTGGGGGCTGGGGGACTTGTGCAATTCAACCAGTTTCTAGCTCCCTCTGCCTCGAGCTGACCTAGACGGTACAATTCTCTTTCCCAATTGAGAGCTTTTATATATTCACTGTGGTTGTAAAGAAGAATAAGTATGGATAAAGTTCTATAAGTACATGCGCACATTTTAAAATCTCTTCCCAGGTATTTGGCATAGTTGAGGTATTTACAGCCCATCATCCACCTTCAACTCGGGGAATCTTACCCCTGTTTCAGGAACCAGTTATCATAATGTGTGCATTTGTAACTTAACTATTGTTTTCTTCCTGCATTATTGATTATGTTGATTCTATCTTTTTTTTTTTTTTTTGTTTTTTGGGAGGGGAGGAGGACTTGAACCCTTGACTTCAGGAAGACAAAGTCTTGACAAAGTACGGAGTACCAATGGACCAAAGGCCCGTTGGTATTGTTGATTGTATCTGGTGGATGTTAAATCCTGAAGATTATCTGATCAATTTAGGGTGTGTTTGGCTTACCTAGTGGATGGACATTTTCAGGCCAAAAAGTCCATTTTACAACATCATAAGCTGTTTGGTGAATCAGCAGTTTTGTCATTTTAGATAGAAGTGCCTTCCCAGAATGCGCATTCTCAGAAGTCACCTTAGCAAGCTTCTCTAAATGGGACTTTTGGACTTCTCGGACATCTCGCGAAGTCGATCCTCTCATTTAAGTAATTATAACTAGGTTCCATTATTACCCTCTTTTTTTTTTTTTTTACAATGGTATCCTTTTTAAATCCTGGAACATTACTAATTTGCACAGCCACATTATCTACATACGAAGCAAAAAAACAAAGCAAGTCACTATCATCTCTGTTATCGCATACCGACTTTCGTAAATCTATACATATATTCTGTATGAAGTAGATGACAAGGAAGTCCTCCGGTGAACTCATAAAATGTCAAAAACCTCACAGAGAAGTTCATCCGAAAGCAACCATACCATGGTGAGAAAGATTACTCAGCGCTGCCGGCCTCATGTTCCTGAGATTCTGTTGCTGCTGCACTTCAGGAGGCCACTAAGATGTTGCAGAGACTTCTCTTGCATCTGTGGGTGTGGCAAGAGGACATGGAGATGTACATCTATATTCTGTGTAATTTCCATTAGATGTCTTCGCAAGACCTTGATTTCTTCACTTGGATTGGCTTTAGAAGGTGGGTTTTGTTTTGTTTTTTTTTTTTTTTTTTTTGGGGGGGGTAGCATAAGTAGACTTGCATTTGATTAGATGCTTAAAAAAAGTATACAGCTTTGGACCTTGGTCACATATAGTCTGTTATTGCCAATTTTATTTTTTATTTTTATCAATAATGATATTTGCTTTGTCTTTATACACTATTTAATGTGACATGATCCCAACCACTGAACATTTAATAAATGCAATGATACCCATTAATTTGATGATTCACATTGACTTGGTATGCATCACCTTCCGTGCACTACTTGACCATTTAATATTTAATAAACTTGATGGGAGCCATTAATCTGATCTGATGGTGCACGTTGAGACGGTGCACAAAGATGTAAGCGTAACATTGTTGTTTTTTTAATTAAACTTGAAGTAAAGTTTTAGAATTTAGGCAGATATGACAATAAATTAGAAATTCTAGTTTTTATGTTTTAAATTTCATGTCTTTCAACAAGATAAAATATGACATTGATGTAACACATTTGAAGAAAATTGGAATAAAATTTTGTTGAGTTGAATTTTTATTATTTGCGTTGTATTTAGATTATTTGCTACATTAGATAATTAGTATAAATATTTGCATCTTATTTAAATTATTTGCTAAATTACCTTAGATAATTAGTATAAATGTAGATAAGGTTAAGGGTAACATTGCAAATGAAGAAAAAAAATTTCATGTTCTGTTATATCCTCTACGCCCATACCTTCCGTGTTCATCCCCTTTAGATTTTTCGAAGTGAGAATCTATAAGACCTTCGTCAATTTGTGATAAAAACACAATTTTGTTTGTTGATCTGGCAGATGAGACAGTGGAAGTGGTGGTTGTATAAATCTCCATCTCGGTGAACTCGTAAAGCATATTTATGAATCATTCATTCATTCCACACACACACACACAAAACTTTCTGCATTTTGTACTTGACTTGTGACTTAGACCTCACTCTAACATCTTTTTCGCCCACATGCAAGTCCATTCATTCTTCTTTTTGAAGTAACCTTTTAAAGCTTCGCCAACAACCATATTTGGTGGTCATACCTGACTCACAATCACACCTCATATATATGATTTGTTATTGCACTGAAAAAAATTCTGACTTGTCACATTTCATCTTTCATGCTACCCAATCACACCTCAAGGTTAAGGGTAATCAGTATTTAATTTATTTGTGGTGGAGGGTTACAAATCATTTTTAATTATGGAAAAATATGAGAAACACACATAAACAGCTATTGAATTGAACCCACATCAACGTAAGACATATGCTTCAAAGTAAAACTTTGCAGGAAACTAAAAATGAAAATCCATCACACAGAATAATTGAGGATCTACCAATTATAATAGATTTATCAATTTAGAGCATGCAGCCATTATCAGTGAACTATTAAATCTTTAAACTGGAGCATTCCCATAAATCCACAATGCAGAGTACTTCAGACTATAGAGAGAGAGGAGAGGATGTACCTGCTATACTGTGTACTATTTCACACTTGAGGGATGCTAGGAAATGGAAATCGGCGATGGAGCTCTGGCCAGTGAATCCCTTCTACCTCGACTTCGGCACAGTGCAAAGAAGAAAAAGAGATAGAGATTGAAAGAGAGAAAGAGAGAGAGAGAGAGAGAGAGAGAGAAAAGACTGAGGACTGAACTGACGAACAATTACAGGAGCAACAAACATAAGGCAATAAATCCAACAAATATTCGTAACCCATAAAAAAAATGTCAACCCACAAATATATATTGAGAGAAAGAGAGAGAGTAGAGTCAGTAGACAATAGTGAGAGGGAGAAGGGGGGAGGGAACTCACCATGTCGCTGGTGGAGGTTATGCTCAACCGTTGCTTTTGGTGGTCTGCTCGTCGGTCTGATCGTTGCTGGTGCTGGAGTGGAGGTTGGTCTGGTCGCTGGTTGGTGGTGGAGGCATTGCGAGGCTGGTCTGGTAGCTTGTTGGTGGTGGAGGCGTTGCGAGGCTGCTCGTCTGGTGGAAATGGAATGATTTAGGTCAAAACGAAAGGGGAAAAATGCCCAAATAAAAAAAAATCTCGGATTTATAGAAAGGAAGTTAAATCGTCCGGTTTGTTAAACTCGTCCGATTCTCACAGGTTTATCAGTTTTTGACCGGTTCAACAGGTTTAGTCCGATTCCTTACATAAATGGTCTTTTAATTGACCCGGACCAATTAGGGGGGCGATTCACTGGATTGACCCGTCGGGCTAGACATGATTTTAAAACGCTGCTTTTCTGTTGCTCATCACTTTTACAATAACCTAAGATTTTTCCCAATAAAATTAACTATGGAATAATTTTTTTGATGATTGAGAATTGATTTACCACGCTCTTATTATATTTATGGCTTATTCGTGAATCCAAAAATACGTTACAAAAGACAAATGTCGAGTTAACAAAATATTTTTTGTGAAAGTCAAACTTAGAAATTAAAAAACTTAAAAAAAATCGGGAATTAAAATAAGCTTAATCACGTTTGAAGTTATTCCCATGCGATGGTCGAGCCTACCTGCCATGGTTAAGCAGCGTCAAGGAAAGGCACGAGGTCATGTGTACTTGACAGTGGTTCATAACCCATCAAATCGCGTCAGAAATTTACTCTGGTTTTCCGTATTTACCCCTCTCACGCTCACCCGACATGAGTTGGTGAATGGTCACAAAAAGACGTTAGTGTCCTAAATAGTAAATCAGACGGGTAGATTTTGGATGTGCGCCGACTATAAAATGAGGTGCCCCATCTGCTTACTTTCATTCAGGTTCTTACGAATCCACTCAACAGAGCAGCTCTCTCTCTCTCTCTCTCTCAATTTTCCTCCGGAACTTCATACGATAAAACAGAAGCCACGATCTTAGAGGTAATTCAATTCTCAATTTCAGTTTCAATTTCGTGATATGCATACATTTATGTTTGCATTATATATCGACGCCGTTTTTAATGAAATGTATAAATTGTTAATTTGAATACTGCCTTTGGCTGTTCTGTTTTGATTTGTTTGTGATCTGATTTATGTTATATGAAATTGATATGTTGTCTGTGATTTGGATAATTGGATCAATGGATCTGTTTGTAAGTCTGCTAGTTGTGTTCTCAATTGCTGGATCAGATTTAGTATTCGATCTTAAATCGTACTGTATTGTGTACTCAAGATTTTGGTCAATGTTCAACAATCACTATGCAATATGGATCTAGTGCGCACTGATGGATCTAACTGAGAAATGAGATAATTAATTCACATGTACGAGCAAATATGTTGTGTTTATTACTCAAAATCAAGATTTATTGGTAGAGATTAGTTCCTGTGTCTTGTATATGTGCGTTGGATCTGACTATGACTACCTAAAGTTGTCTTTATCCTCAGCGCCTCTTTGCTGCTCTGATTTTTCTTGATTGAGTGAGATCACTGTGTCAATGGAGTCAACCATACAGCCGTGTTTGCTCCAATTTTAGCTGATCTGAGATGAAAAACATACCACATTCTTGTTTTCTTTGATGTTCTTCGAAATGGAATGTCTCAAAACATGAACATGCCCTTTAGCCTCGATGTACTCTGAAATGGAATGTCTCTTCCTTCACTGAAATTGAATCTAGGTTTCGGAGTTATATGAAACTTGTTTACGAATTAGAATTTAAAATCTTGGCAGTATTATCGTGTTTGTATGCATATGATTCTTGCTTGTCTCTTTCCTTCTATTATTTTCTTCTAAGAAGTAAGGCTTGTGGATCCCTTTGACTCCATCTGAGTGCAGCTCTGGCAGAAGTTGTTTAACAGATGCATTGCATCATTTCTATGCACTGATAGCTGTTGTTGGCTGGATTGATACCGTAATGAAAGATCAAATTGCTTATGCAGATACTGTATGTAACATGAATGCTATTCATTGATCTGCTTGACTGCAATCATAAGAGTAGTACACTAGTAGTTGTAAGCTGAAAGTGTATTGCACTTCCCTGCATCTGCATCTATTGATGCAAAACATAACCAAATATTATTACATGTTCTGAAAATGAAATTTCTGCAACGTTGTTGTTCTTTTCTGATATATGAACTTCTGTTTAGTTAGAGTGCAAGCACAGACGAAAATGGTGAAGATTTGCTGCATTGGAGCAGGGTATGTTGGGGGTCCAACAATGGCAGTGATAGCACTCAAGTGTCCTTCCATTGAAGTGGCAGTTGTTGATATCTCTGTGTCTCGGATTAACGCCTGGAACAGTGATCAGCTTCCCATCTATGAGCCAGGCCTCGACGATGTGGTGAAGCAGTGCCGAGGGAAGAACCTGTTCTTTAGCACGGAGGTGGAGAAACATGTATCTGAGGCTGATATTGTCTTTGTTTCTGTCAACACCCCAACCAAGACTCGAGGTCTTGGAGCAGGAAAAGCTGCAGATCTGACATATTGGGAGAGTGCTGCCCGCATGATTGCGGATGTGTCAAAATCCAACAAAATTGTAGTTGAGAAATCAACTGTACCGGTCAAGACAGCCGAGGCAATTGAAAAAATTCTAACCCACAACAGCAAAGGAATTAACTTCCAAATTCTCTCAAATCCTGAATTTCTTGCTGAAGGGACTGCAATCCCAGATCTCTTTAATCCTGACAGAGTCCTCATTGGAGGCAGGGAGACTCCAGAAGGACAGAAGGCAATCGAAGCACTGAAAGATGTTTATGCCCACTGGGTCCCTGAAGAACGAATCCTCTGCACTAATTTATGGTCTGCAGAGCTCTCAAAGCTTGCTGCCAATGCCTTCTTGGCACAAAGGATCTCATCAGTTAATGCCATGTCAGCTCTCTGTGAGGCCACTGGGGCAGATGTTACCGAGGTGTCATATGCTGTTGGTAAGGACACTAGGATTGGTCCCAAGTTCCTGAATGCTAGTGTTGGTTTTGGTGGGTCTTGCTTCCAGAAGGACATTCTGAATCTGGTTTACATCTGCGAATGTAATGGCCTCCCAGAGGTGGCAGAATACTGGAAGCAAGTCATCAAGATCAATGACTACCAGAAAAGTCGTTTTGTTAACCGCATTGTTTCCTCTATGTTCAACACCGTTTCAAACAAGAAAGTAGCCATCCTAGGATTTGCCTTTAAGAAGGATACAGGTGATACCCGAGAGACCCCGGCCATTGATGTTTGCAAGGGGCTCTTGGGTGACAATGCACGGGTGAGCATATATGATCCACAAGTCACTGAGGACCAGATTCAGAGGGACCTTACAATGAACAAGTTTGACTGGGACCACCCCCTTCACCTCCAGCCAATGAGTCCTACCGCCGTCAAGCAAGTGAGTGTTGTTTGGGATGCCTACACGGCAACAAAGGATGCCCATGGTGTTTGCATTCTCACCGAGTGGGATGAGTTCAAGACTCTTGATTACCAGAGGATATATGATAACATGCAAAAACCAGCTTTCATATTTGATGGTAGGAACATTGTGAACGTGGATAAGCTGAGGGAGATTGGTTTCATTGTGTACTCAATTGGCAAGCCGCTGGATGCCTGGCTAAAGGACATGCCTGCCGTGGCATAAAGGCAATGCTTCCATCGAGTCACTTGTGTTGGAACAGAAGAACAATAGTCACAAGGCAGTCAATTGGATTCGATTTTTCTTACTTTTCCCTGTTAGTCAGACAATAATTGATGTTACCATCTGGGGTAAGGTTTATGTTTTCCATTACATTGAATTGATGATACCACGTGTTGTCTGTTACTTGTTTTGTTAGAGGACCTGATTCATTTTTGTTGGTTGATGAAAACGCTCATTATAGTAAGTATTCTATTTGATCTCTCTGGCAAGTGTCGAGTTTGGTGTGGGATTTTTAACCTTGTTTATTATGTATCTTTTCAATAGCTGCAGGCCAGACGACTATAATTCCTTAAAAATTAAAATGTTTGTCGAATTTTTTTCTTTTCTTGCTTTATTATATGAATGCGGAAGAGGCCTGAATTTCTTCTTTCAGCACAGCAGCGGTGTTTTGTTTCAGCAGTATTCTCATCTTTTCAACACGAATAATCAGGGGATTCCTCTTGATTTTTCTGCATCAGTTTGCTTCTTCTTCATTCACTTCAGTTTAGCACGCCTACAAACTTTTGTAGATCCTTAGCAGGAGTTATCATAATTGATTTAGAGCTACTGTTGTTTCTCCTTTGCTAGTTTCGTATGTTTTGTGAAATAAGGATCTTGCCCTTTGTGCTAGAATTTACATGTCTATGAATCCAACCATGAATGGTTGGCAAGCGAGCTATCAGGGACCCCGGAGCTATGCTTATTTCCAACTCCTCCAAGCAGTTTGTTGCTTATTACATCTTTCCTCCTCCCTTGGTGCCTAGATATCCACCGAAAACTTTTTCTTGTTTAAGCTTTGTTCTTAACTTTTAACTTTTAGGCTGTCAAACGGATGGATCTTATCAACATCCGTGAATGACAAATCATAAATTGAATAGCCGAATTAAAACAGAATTGAGTGTTATAATATATTTTTTGATTTTGAAGCCAAAAAATAAAAATTTGATATCATAATCCTATCATAGCATATTCATTCTCTAGGATTGGATCGTCAATCCTCTTGAATTCTACTTGATTTGTATTACTATGAAAATAAATACATTATAAATTCATATTTTTCCAAAATTCTAAGTATGGCCCAATAAGTTGTAGACAATAAAATACATATAAAATATAGAATTATAGCTAAAAATAAATACAATTATTTTATCCAAATTACTTTAATCACAAAAATTCTAATCTCAATAAAACTCTCACTCTCAGATTTAGTATTTTCTTCATAACAAATATGTTGTTTAATTTGTAAATGGATTTTATTTTATATTATGACTACTGATGTATTTCTATTTTTTTTTTAAGAAATTGACTCTAAATTTAAAGTAATATTACGCAAATTTAAAAAATTAGATTTGATAATTATAATAATTGATTTTAATGTGAGTCATACTCTTTATTGAAATTCACTAATTATTTAATAATTGTGATTATTATATTTAATTTTCAAATTCATGTAAGATTAATCGTAAATTTAATTACAACATAACAGGAGAATCGAGTATGGGCGTGGTTTCTCTGCTGTTGGAGGAAAACAGCATAGTGTACTGTTAGGATAAACGACACCGTTTTAATTAGATTTTTCCTTTTCAAAATTTTTCCACATGAAACTCTCCCATACACATATCCTCTGTACCTGCATTTGCACAGTCCCTCTCTCTTATACAAACTCTCTCCTAAAACTCCTAAAATTTTTAACAGTGATTATAACTCTCCCTTATGCGAAACAAGGGTTCTTTATTCTTCTCTATCGCAAACACCTATAAACGCATGTGCAATTATACATACACAAATAAATTAATCTTCTAGAAACTATAGTTTTCTGTCCATGAGCTCCTCTAATGGCTGTCAAGCTCTCAACTTCGACAATTTCAAGGAATTTTTTCAAATAGGTCCATTTAAACCCATGCCTTACGGCTGTTTCATGAGGAGATAATATTCCAACAGCAGAGGAGCCACGCCCATCGAGTATTCAAAGGTACTCCATCAACCCCATGGGTAAAGGGCCCCAGCTGTTCTTGCTTTTCTTCTATTTATTCTCTCTTTTTTCTGTGGGTCTAACGTGTCATTTGTCAGCCGTCACGTGGATCCTACGAAGCAATTATCTCCGAATTCCAACAACCTCCAATCCAATCAGTACAGCCGAAGATTCCCAGTCCTCAGATGGAGATGGCCTCTCACCACCACCCCCACTGCCACCACCAAATCAGCCAACCCACCACTCTTACCATCACTTCTTGTTCCTGCTGCTGTTGCACCCCATCTCTCCACCACACAGCATCACTAGACCCACTTTTCCAGTCCCTAGCCTCTCACCTCCACCGTTCTACCCCTCAACCCCACCTCTACTCTCACTATCTCAATCCACCCTATAACATGCACCACCACCATCAAACCCATTGTTACCCACCACAACCCCACCAACACACACCGCAAAACTTTCAATACCGTCAGCCCCACCACCAACAAGAACAAACAATACCCAATGTCTCCTCTCTCCTCCGCCGCATCACCGCCCTCGAATCGTCCGTCCGCCACCATTCTTCTTCTGCTTCTTACTCTCTCCGTGATGCCGCCGCCCGTACCATCCAAACCCACTTTAGAGCCTTTATTCTTCACAGATCACGGACCCTCCGTCAGCTTAAAGACCTCGCTTTAATCAAGTCAGCCCTTAATTCTCTCAAATCATCGATTTCTGGCAATAACCGCTCTGATTGTGAAATTCTCTGTTACAAAGCCATGGATTTGCTTCTGAAGCTCGATTTTATTGAGGTAATAATCAGTCGCATATCTACAAATATGTATTTACGTAAGCAGTGTGCAGAAGATCTAATGTAAGTTTGTTTGCAGGGTAGTGATCCAATGATTAGAGATGGTAAAAGGTCAATTACCAGAGACTTGATTGGATTCATGGACCTTGTTGATGGATTTTCTGTGAAAAGGAATGAGCTTTCCAGCAGAGTAGGGAAGAGTGTTAGATATGCTGGGAGTGATAACAACCCTAGGGTTTCTCATAGTGAGAAGAGAGTGGGTGCTGTTGAATGTAAGGATTTTGGAAGTGATAAAAGAATATTGCTAGAGAAAATTAGGGGTCAAGTTGAAAAGATTCAGCGGTTCTCTAGGGCTTCTCAGGATGATGATGAGAATGTTATGGAACTTGAAAATTCCAAAATTTTCGTAAATGGAAAATATGGGGTTTCTCCAAATAGAAGAGGGGTTTTTGTAAAAAGGCATGGTGAGCTTGAAGCCAAAGTGAGGAGAAGTGTGAACTTTGCAGAGAATGGGAATGTGCATAGGATTATTAGCAGCAGCGGTGAAGCCGGTGAGCCTGTTTTAATTGGAGATTGTAATAGCAGTGATGGGAGTGATTCTGTCGATGCTGAGAGAGTGTTTGTGGACAATCTGGGTAGAGAGATTGAAGAAATTAGGGTTTCTTCCAAGAAGATAGGATGATGAGGAAACTCACCCAGAGGATGCTGTGTCGTCCCAAATCAGTGATGGTGAAAGAGAGCCTAAAAAAGAACTGAGAACTGAAGATAGTATATGAGACAAGGAGGCATTACTATGATGAAGATGGGAGTTTTGTATTGTCTACTCGATTGCCTTGAAGATGGTAGCTAGAGCTGATTTGTTGAACAATAGGAAGACTAAAAAGTAGTGAAATAATGGGCAAGAAGTAGTAAAAAGTAGGTCTTTAGGCTGCAAATTTTGTAATTTTTGAGTGGGAATTAGGCTTCTTTGTACTCTAATTGTTAGATTACACTGATCAGAAAACTACGCAGGAAGAGGTTAATGGGAGATTTGATTCAACCAAAGTATGTTGTAACCTTGGTGTCTTGTAGTGAGTTGTCTTATGGTAACTCTTTGCTGTATTTTGCTAATCTCCTGAATGATAAATCTTCATGGTAGTCTTTCTTTTCATTTTGGTTACTAAAATTAAGTGTAAAATTGTGGGTCAACGATGTTGTGGAGTGTCCAAGAGATGCTAAGTGTGACCGACAGTAAAGAGAACTAATAGACAGCATGATTGTCACGGTTTAAAATTTTCAGCCACCAAATCATCATGGCAATGTTTAAGTCCAGTTATTGCAATCAACTCATCCAGTGTTTCTGAGCAAAAAGAATCTTAGCTCAATAGGTAATTGTCATGAAAGATTGTATGGTGTAATCTGGAAGGAGAAAGCCAAAGGATGAGATCGTCATAAAACCTAAATCATCATTTGATGACACTTTTTTAAAGTATTAACGAAGGGAGGACCTTTCAAATCATTTTTTAAGTACTAATGACGGGATTAAAGTACAGTAGCACATAAATGAAGATAGCAAAGCAACAATAGAAAGTAAATAGACCTAGTCTAACAGGTTTTCAGTTGTGCTGTGACAGAATGTCTAAATTTATTCTTGACATTCTAAATATTTTTATCTTGCATAACTCTCTTTATGACTACCGGAAAAAGTGTTGTAGCATGTATGTGGTAGAATGTATCAGAGGGACGTGGTGACCTTGCTACATTGATCAATGTTGACATTTTCAATGGTGATGCTTAGAAGAGCATTAGAGCTTTGTCGACTGCAGCAGTTTGAAGGTGTGAGGCCTAATGCAATAACTTTGGCTTCTCTTCTTTTTGCTTGTGCTGATTTGCCTTCTTTGAAGCTTGGCAAGTGCTTGCAGGGTGCGTGATGAGACAACTGGAATCCGATGTAAATATGGAAACTGAACTGATTGGCAGGTATGATTCTGTCATACTTAGCCTCAGGCATGTTCAGAAAAACTTAAAAGAGAGAACAATCCCATGAATGCAATTCTTTCTGGGTGCATTCATGTTAGCTTGCAAGAGGAGCAATCATAAGATGCTATTGAAAAAGTAGATCCACATATTGCAAGCTTAAAGAGCCTCCTCCCTGCATATGTCATTCTTGCAGATTTCCAGCAAGCAAGGAATATCCACTGTTACCTAACAAGATCGCAGTTTCTTTCTAGAATTGAGGTTTCTTCTGGTTTGATTGATATGTACACCAAATAGAATATGCGCACAAGATCTTCAATTTCTGCAAAGGATGAGGACATCATTCTGTGAAGTGTGATAATAGGTGGTTATGTAATGTGGAGGCATAGCGAGGCTGCTGTTTCTCTTTTCAATCAGATGGTTCAATCTGAAGTTGAACCAAATGAAGTTACTTTTAATTCTGTGTTGCATGCAGTAAGCAATATATATAAGAACTAGGTGAAAAATTACTGCCCTTTGGATAGAGATCATGGGACATATGATGAAAGAAGTAGGATTAACAAAACACCAGCTCACTGTTCAATTGAGGTCAGAATGATGTGATGTCAGTGTTATGTCTTCACTACTAAAAGATAAGAGCCTGAGCTTGGACAAGAGTGCCATGAAAAGAAAAAGTTCCAAGTGAGGCTGGGTTCATCATATGGAGAATAGATAACCTTTTAAGGAGTGCTAATATATGGAGCAGAGGCATGAACTGTTGAAGGGTCTACTGAACTGGCCAACTCCAAATCAATTTGGAAGGGAAGGCTACTTTACAAATGCAATTGATGTTTATCAAATCAGTGGAGTGATCTTAATGTTTAATAGCATTGGGAGTAAAGCATACATCACTTGATGGAATGATTGTGAGGTCAAAGAAAGGCTTTGATCAATTTTAAAGAATCCTACATGTTTACACCTAAGACCTGCAGATGTATGGGAGTTTTCCAATTTGAAAGCATCATCATCGCTGTGAAAGCCAAGTGTGTCAGGTTAGCCTTTGAGTTTATCAGTAACAGTTAAACTCTTCAACGCAAGATGATAACTGGATTGGTCAAATTTGTTCGTCGACATTGCAAATTTAAATCCAAAGAGGGGAACATACAGCATACTGATTACTTGATATGTGTCTTACTGTCAACATATTTTTTGGAAGGAAAAGTAGTTCAGTTCATCAATTTCATAGATTCACATTCATCAATTTTACTATTCTTTTCTCCTTCTTAACAATGGTTGGGATGTGAAAAACTGTGAATCAATACAAGAATTGTGACATAAAAAAAACTTTTCAATCTTGGATCTATCACATTTGACCTTGAGAAATCTTCAACAAATCCATGGCCAAAGTTTTGTGATGATGTAACTAGGTATCCGTAAAATTCTTTACCAATACTACTTGATAATTAGATGGGTATTTTCTGTTTAAATAACCATGGTATGATGACAATGTGTCACTGATCACTTCATCTTTTTGGTCCTTACATTCCTGTCTATTTTGCATTGTTCTCTTGTTACTGATGTTGTTTATCTTCTTGTTTCACACATGCAACACATAGGAGAGGTTTTCCAATATTATTTCTTGCTCTTGGTTTCTTACAACTGCTATATGTTTTGGTAAAGTATGAAAATTAAAACACATGAGCTTCTATGTATTGACACCAAACTAAAATCGCGTTCATCAACCTCTTCATCTTCTCTTTCTCTAAAAAAAATATTTTCTGCTCTAATTTTGTTAAGAATTTACATAATTTTTTTTTTCATTCTTTTGTCTTTGATATATGGAAGGCACTAGCAACTGACATCTCAAGTTAAATCCTTTTGCAAAAGTGAAATGAACCAATCTTCTGAAATTGTTAGGACCCTTGCCATCTTTGTTCCAGGTGCAGTTGGCAACACTGTGCCTGAATTTTCACAATGTATTCCTAGCATTAATCTTATTCCTATTATCACAATATGGGTTAACAAAAAAGGGTGAAAGAGACTTGTTATTTATTTATTGGCATGTACTCAGTTTTCTGATGTTGATTGTTATGTCATTCCAAGCCTAAATAAAGCATTGATAGATCACCTATTATTCCAAACCATTGTCTCCAACTCACAGGTACAAGCCATGTGCCGAAGCCTTTTTTACATGTTCATATGCTCTTGGACGGCCCACATATTGCTGTTTGTGTGTATGAGAGAGAGTGAGAGTTTTATGGAATATAAGGCTTGCAGGGCAGGTTTAGTTCTTCTTTTTTTTTCTTGGTGAGTAACCTGTCCAATGCAGGGTTACTTTGAACTCATTCTTGCGAGAGTATACTTGAGATACCTACAATTGCCTATAAACCACAAGTATTTGTTAAATCCGAGAGACACTAGTGAGAGTCGAATCTTTGATGTCTGGATCTACGATCTTTCGGGGCCAACCCTACACCACTACACTACCCATGCGAGTTAGGCAGGTTTACTTAATCTCTCATATTTGGTAGATTTCCCAAATTCAATGAAAATACATTTTTGAAAATATCCTTAGGTTACTGTGATTTGATGGTCATTTTGCCGATACTGTGGCAGACAGTGTTCAATGCTAACATGTTCACAATTTATTCAATGAACAACTTCAAACAATAATCCGTGACAGTTCAGCCTAACAAGTTTAATGTCAGTTAACATACCAGCCTAACATGAAATACATGTAGTTGATGTGTCTTGATATAATAGTAAGGTTATTTGGTTGAATTTTATAAGTCATAGATCAACTTATAAAAATAACCTTTGCAGACGGTATGAGATTGGGTACATAAAATCATCCTTAATTCTCATAATAACAGGAATCTCGTACATTAAAGTAAATAACTTTTAAAGCCTCTAATAGTACAATACAACCGAGTTTGATGTTTTTTTTTTTTTGGTCCGAATATAAACCACCACAACCGAGTTAATGCCTATACATTGTGCCTGGTCCAAATAGTTAACCTAATGGTCCTGCATTGCGAGAAAAAGCAATGCCCTCCCCCCTCCCCTTTATTTCCAAAAATTTAATCAAAACAAAACAAAAACTGGCTATTTTAGCTAGGTAGGACATTTTTTTTTCAATACCTAGATAGTTTGTTAGGCATGTGTCATGTGTGCATGACCTGATTGACAGCCTAACATTAAAATATGGGCTAAACTCAATCCACTATACTAATTAATCAACGGGTCTTTGGTCCAATAGTACTTCTTACTTTGTAAAGATTTTATTTTTTTGAGGTCAAAAATTCAAACCCTCTTCTTCTTCCCCTCCAAAAAAAAAATATACTAACTACATGAATTGTCCTCCACCAGTTAGATTTCTGTTTCTTTTCTCCTTATAGTTTTTGTTTGTGGGGTGGGGTGGGGTGGGGTGGGGGGGGGGGAATACACTGACTTCCAAAAATGCAAAAAAACAAACTGATCAAAGACCATTTTGGCCACAAATTGCACATGCTATGAGAATAACATCTTGACCCACTATAACCATAATGAAAAATTTAAATCTATTGTGTAAAATTATGCATATGATAGATTTATCAGATGGTTGAATTACCATTAATCTAACCCCTTGAAGTTCCTTAACGGTTTTGAATTATAACTAAGATTAACATATCACACCCATTTTAAGTGTTGAATTAAATTATATATGGTACAAATATGACTATATATAAATATAAAAGAATTGCATAT